ATCCTTTGTGGCCCTTCTTTCTATTACTCCCTGGCAGAAATGCAGCTGGCATCTGGGTACAGATACTCCTCTCCCATCTCACTGTAGTCAGTGACTCAGGTGGAAAAAACTGACCATAAAAAGCAATAGACCTGAGAATCAGGCACCTTATTCTTCTTTATTCCTTGAGGGGGCACAAGGGTTGGACCCTTTATGTTCACACTGGATTATGTATTTTCCTGCTTTCCCACCATTGACTTTTATCATTGACCTTTACCCTTACCTGGATTATACTGCTAGAAGCCATATAGAGGGAAGGAGGCATAGGGCTGAGGTCTGTGGTATTGTTTATCGTGTTGCTTAACTACACCTTATAGCCACAACATGTAAATTCTCAAGGGATTAATAAGTCTAGAGTTACTAAGACAGTTCGTCCCAGTCCCTCACAATGCAGCTGTATGAAGGGGACAGATGAGAGAAGTCGGCCGTCACACAAGGCTGACATATCATGTGCAGGGACATATGGGAACCACATTTTTTCATATTGCTTCTTCAAAATGAATTGAATTGGTCTATAAAACATACATCTTTGTGACAACAAAACTGACACATGCAAAGAGGCTCTTATGAGGAATGACTTCGGAAGAACCAGCAGTGTTGAAGGGTGTGTGTAAATGGAATTCACAGTCAAAAAAGCTAACAGAGAGGGCCCGGCACCTCTCCTGGCGTTTACACTCACTGAAAGCGAGAACATTTTGGATGCATTTCAAAAATATGGGTGTTTACAAGCATCAGCATTCTAAGACATATGATGCAGAATCAGGGGCAAGATGTCTTCTACATATCTTAGCTGTCACTCTATTGCCACTTTTATTCAATCTGATAGTAGAAGGTTTTATTAGACTTGGCTCTTTAACACTTTGAAATTGGGTCCCAAAGAAACATGTTTTCATTGAATAATGGAATTATCACTGCAAGCTCTAGGCAACCAATGTTACTATGTACTGTTTGTTATCTTGCATATGACAGTAGAGATGATGTTGAAAGACTAGGAAGAATTCTGCCCTTATTCAGCTCACAGCTTTGTTGGGATATGATGGTCACAAGTGAGTCAATAAAGAGCAGTTAGAGATGGGAAGATAATAGAAAATTTTACCTTGTTAAGCAGTGGCATAACACTCATTTAATAGAGTTTTAGTGGAAGAATGTAGGTGTCACAGAGGTTCAAAAGGAAGTGGGATTTGTTACTGGCTTCAGCAGGAAGGTGGAACTTGAGCCAAGGCTGGGGAAGGAGAGGGTTAGGAAGGTGGGAGAGAGGTTAAAGATCCCAGGGCTGAAGCGATCCCTCAGTAGGTGGTATGCTTCAAGCATCATCAGATCATTTTGGATCCCCAGAACACTTGCAAAACCAGACATAGTAGTATACATCTGTAATCTAGGTGCTGCTATAATGAGTTGGGAAGTAGAAACAGGAGAATCCTAAGAAGCTCGTAAGGCCATGTGTGTGCATCAGTGAATAACAAGAGAAGAGACCCTATCTCAAACATGGTAGAAGATGAAGACCTCTGACCTTCACCTGCATGTCACAACCCATGCTTGCCCATACTCACTAACATTGGCATGTACACACACTCGAATATGTATCCCTTATACATAATATGTCCGAAAATATACCCACATTGTACACAGAATATACAGAGCTTAATTTAAAAAATATTCTCTATGTCACTCTGAGTGAGAAAAAGCAATCACCAATCATGTAACAAAGAGTCTGGGTGGGAGAACAGAAAGATAGAGAGGGTGGAACAATTCTTTTTCAACTCTGACTGTGATCAGTTCTTGCAACAGTGCTAGTTCCCTGTCTTCACTGGAGTGCACCTGGAGAAATGTCTCCTGACTAGGAGGTTTGAAGGTGAGTTTCCTCACCTTTAACTGTTTAGATCTACAGTAGCTACAGTTCTACTGTGGATAACAAACTAGAAATCATGGGCCTTCATTTCTTTATAGGAATGTCCACTGGTTGTTTTGTTTTGTTTGTTTAGTTTGAGACAAAGTTACTCTCATATTGTAGCCCAGACTGGCCTCAAACTTGAAGTAATCCTCCTGCCTCAGATTCCTGGGTACTAAGGTTATAGGAATGAACTGCAACATTGGTCATTGCTATCTATTTGGAAATTGGTAGAAAAGTTGGACATCATTTATTTTGAGGTTCCTAGACGACATTCACTTTTCAATGTTTTCTGAGTTACAGGTAGCTAGAAATAAAGAATTTCTTGTTACCGCTCTTGTCCAGCTGTGTCCCAAAGCTGCAGGTGAACCTTAAATGCTTTCCCTGAAGATCCATCTACTCCTTGTGTGTTGTAAACCTGAAAAACACAATCCTCTCAAGTTACTATTGCTTTGGGTTTTGTCAACATTGTAGTTCTCTGGGTTCACTCAGAATGTTTTCGTTGATTACTATAATCAAAGTTCATAGTGCAGATTAAATATTTGCTTTATTTTCCCCCAAGTATCACATATATCTCACTTTTAAATGTCAAGCACAGTATGATTTCCAACACAGTTTAAGCATACTGCAAACTTAAATTAGACACCTTCTGTCATTTCCTCATGGAGGCAGCAGACATCAGATTAGGACGAAAACCCTAGGTTCAAACAACCAACTTTTCATTTAAACTTCTGAGTCTTTTTTAAAAAAAAATATTATTTTGACAAATTCAGACTGTAATCCTTTTCTATTTTGCAGTTGTAATAAACTTAAATAAAATTACAAATCGGAAAACCATTTTAAATGAAATTTGCTTTACAAGTACCTGAGTACTTTTTAGCCTAGGACTAATTTTCAAAATGACTTGGGTAGATGATGTACACAGAATTTCTCAGTGGGTTATGTTGGGACATTTCATCCTCTGTCTTTTGGCCTCTCCTTTAGAGAGCCTTTGTAGATAGTGATCACAGATTAGTGGAAATGCTCTACATTTTTACAAGATTTCTATCTAGGTTGGTAGGCATTGCTAAGGGGAGAAGTCAGAAGAATCCTGGAGTTGCTGGAAGTAGAGCTGCCCACAGTCGTCTACTGGCTCTCAGCTAAGGCATAGGAAGCGATTCAACTTTTCATGCAGTGGCTTTCCACCAAGCATTTCCCTTTGGGATTTGTGACATCAACTGGAAGTCACAGTGATCTTGGCAGTCAAGAATACCATGGGTGGCAGGAAATCTGGCTAAGCTTATGTGCCTATGCTACATGCCTCACATGTCACAATATCCTCCTTCCTGTCATTAGTGTCTAGCATAGGAGAAGTGGTGTTGTGATTCTCACTTAAGCTCCCTTATCATGGAAAATAGCATGGATGGGTCTCACATTCTGTTCCTAACAAGCCAGTGATTGATGGCTGAGGCTACACATAAATAAAAACTCACCAAGAACTTACAAATTTCATGTTCCAGCTCTTTGCCAATCATACTTTTAACCTCTTTGTTAGGAGTAAGGAAGTGAATACTAAGAAATTTACCTCAGACTAGTGAATTAATACTACCAGTACTTTAATAAACGAAAAATTTGAAAGATTCCTTAAGAATTCACAGAAAAACACATTATCCACAAACTCAACAACTCATTTATTTTGGTTGTCTTGTGTACTTCTGAAGACAGATAGTGTCACTCAATATTTTTCTATCAAAATGTTACTGGCAGTTGAAAATGTAATAAATAACATTCTGAAGTTATGAGTTTCATGTGATAAAAAACAGACACTTTGAAGTGTAATAAACACAATTCCTCAATTCTTATTTGATACAAAAGAAGAGGTAATAAGGTTAACAGTGTAGTTAAAAACTTACCACACGTTTTTCCCGGAAATCTATTCCCACTGTAGTGATGAATTTAGGATTGAATTTATTGTCTGTGTATCTATAAAGAAATGTTGTCTTCCCTACTCCTGAGTCTCCAAGGGCCAGGAGTTTAATTAGATAATCATAATCTCCATCAGTCATAGTGGTGGTCTTGGTGGGCCTGCACAGGAGAAGAGAAAATATGATACAGCTAAAGTTGATTTCCTCTGTTTGCCATCAGAATACATCATACATTTAATGAATGACATTAATGTCAAATGTTCCAAAATTCTGAAATAACTTGGTCAAAGTAGCTTCAAGTGTGAGGGTACACCTGCCATTTTGTTACCTTACAACATGGCACATGATACCAAGCATTTGTAAAACAGACATTAGCACCACAATAATAGTCAAAAAGTCAAGGACATTTGTTTCCAAAACATTGACTAGCAGTGTGGTACTCCAGAGAGGAGGGAGATATGAGAACAGAAACTCCATTGGGAATGAAGCAGCAAAGGTAGAAAGTGATTGCATGCAGAATGAAGAAGTTGGGACGGTTTACATCTAATGATGAAGGAGAAACCGTCTATTATATCCATACACAATATTCCTTTTTAGTCTTAAGAATTTAACAACTAGCATGATGCCCCTGAAAACACTGATGTGAAATCCTGCAGCAGCAACTGTTACAAATCTATCTTCCCGGAACAAGGAGGCCTCTGTTCTCCATGAATCTGTGTTGAGTTACACAGCAGTGATTCTCAGGTCTCTAAAGAGAAGCAGAGGCATGTTTCAGCTATTCCAGTAATACACCTCCTGCCTGGGTGAGCAACAGCATCCATTCTTTCTTCCAGTGCACAGACCCCCTCCTTCCTGAAGCCATGATGACTGTGACTGTGGACCAGTCCTAAGCTAAGACAAGTGCATCTCCAGGGGCTATTCCAAGGTGACCAGCACACTCATCCGAATGACACCATCCTCTATTCACACCATCGTGTGAAGTTCCCACGATGATTTGAGATTTGCTACTACTTTCTGATTCATAGGTCACAGGAATGTGTTTGTTCTATCCTACAACAAAGAGGGAGGCCTGTGAAGATATTGTTAACATGGAAAACATTGTTCCATTATGTGAAAAGAAGAGTTTCCTATTTATGAAGACCCAGCAGCTATTATATTCTTTAAGACAGTCTAATCTGCATTGATTAAAATTACATTTCAAAAACAGCGTATTAGATGAGTTAAAACATTCTAGTAATTTTCCGAAAATACAATATAGGTGGTATAGGCCTATATAATTCCAGTTATTTAGGAATCTGAGGCAGGAGGATAACTTTAATTTTCTTCTGGGCAACTTCACCTGAATATGTTAACAAACTAAGAGAAAGGATAAGGTCATAGCTCAGTGTATGTCACACACATGCCTGCATGAGTGAAAAGCTGGGTTCCTTTCAAACCTCCACTAAGCAACTGAATAGAAGAAAATACACATGATTTATATGTACATAAACATAACCCAAAATGTTTTTACTTTGCCATTTTAATTAGTAGTCCAAGATGAAAGACTTTATGTCTTTGGGTAAAATAATTGATGAAGATAATGAGTTACTTATACAATAATTAATAATCATTAAATTGCTTTAGAGATTCATATATTTTAAATATAACCAATTCCTTGAATCCAAACTATATTGCTTCTGCTAAATAGGACTAAGTTGACTATGAATGTGTGTTTCTTTCATTAAAGAATCTTTTTGAAATAGGATAATTAATATTGTTGTCCTTAAATTTTCCTCCCTTGTAATTTGCCTTCATCACTGAGTAGAACCTGCCAAGTCTGACTATAAACACTTTTTATTTTCTTTATGAACTATCTAGATAACATACAGTCATGGCTTAGAAATCATGTGCAACCATCAGCAGCTAGCCTTCCTTAACAAAAGGACATGCTCAACCACAGACACCAGATTCCTCTTGGAGATACCTGTCACATGGGTGACTGCCTCAACCTATCAAATCCTAAACTTGATGGCTCTAAATATCTTTTCAGAGTGTTATAGTTGAATCTACTACTGGTCTTTGAGCCACCTGGTACCCAAGCAGAGTGATGCTCCCTGATACCTGACTGAATTAATATCTCTCCATGTTCCCTGTAAGTATAATTTTACTATCAGCCTGCTCATTTTTTTCTGGGAAAAAGGAGGACTTAAATTTATTCTACGATAAAGGTGACTACTGCCACAGTCTTTCCTGGGTCTAAGCTGTAGAGGGACAGAACTGGAGCTATGGACTGCCTAAAGAGAAAGTAAAGATGGAAGGTACCATGGTTCCCTGGAAAAATGAAAAGGATGGAGTTAAAGTGGTGTATCAGTATGATCTAATTTTTGCTTGGATTTCCTCTATTATTTCACTTTATTGTTGACAGTCATAGGAAAGACTAAATCTCAGACAAATCCAATGAAATCCATCAGCATATGGATGTTGAGCACAAAGATGAAACCCCAAAAGATATACTTCACAATCCAGCTTCTGGCAAAGCTTGAAAGAACTTAAAAGGTGAGAATGAACTCAAGGACACCTGAGGGTGTAGCTCAATTGGTCAAGTGCTTGCCTGAGATAAATAAAACCTTGGGCCTGCATAAAACTTGCTGCAATCATACATGCTTGTAATCCCAGCACTGGGAAGGTAGAGTTGGGAGGATCAGAAGTTCAAGACCATTTCAGGCTGTGTAGTAAGTTTGAGGCCAGCCTGGGATATAAAAGATTCTCTCTCTAAAAATAAAATTAATTTAGCATAAAACCACAAAAAACAAACAAGATAATGAAAACATGGATTTCCAAACTAGGACATGATTGATAAACGAGTGGAATTACCTCTGTGCTTGATAACTCAAAGCAGTAGCCTTTATGAACTGTAGTATTCCTTAGAGAAAGATAAACTAATATGCAATCTTTACAGCACAGCAAGGATCTAGACTGGGTGAGAACCAGGGAACTACTGCATTGGAATCTTACTTCCCTCTTACACTAGGAAGCTCTTAACTACTTTCCAACTACATGACCGAACATGTGTTCCTGACTGGTAGCCAATGTATCCTCTGTTCATTGTATACATCCTGCCTGGGGAAATACCAGGGCTGCCTGAAGTTAAGATCTAATCTGAGGTGAGCAGTACCAGCTACCAGGGAATAGTTTCACTGTGGCCCACATTGCCTCTGCTCTACAAATGAAGAGTGCTGGACACACTCTGACATTTGACACAAATACCATATAAAATGACCACAAGTCCTAGCACTGTGGAAAACATTTACTTAGTGGTTCCAATGTGCTCTCTGACCTATTAAAATAAAACTTAGATGGTTTATTTTAAGTTTCTCTTGAAAATATTAATATTCTGTTCTCTTTCATTTATTTTTATATATACATTCATATCTGTACCTCTGGGATGTATTTGGTTCACTTCTCTTTTAATTACCACATTATTTTCTGAGTCCTAAAATGATGGATATAAATGTTCTTTCCCTGTCAGGTAAACACAGCAGTACAAAGAAAAACAACGCCTTGGCAAGATCTCTTTTTCTAAGAAATAGGATAGAAATTTATCTGGAAAGGATGAAAAAACTGAAAATTTTAACAACATTGTTTATTTTTGGTAATCTTGTCATTTCTCGGTTCTACTGGTCTAAAGCAGACAAAAAGTCAAAAGACTGTAATGTTTTCCACAGCTATGCCACAGAGCCAAGAATATAGAGATACAGAAGATTGGATGCTCTGCTCAGAGTCCTTCATGGGACAGCAAGGGGAAGTAAGAGAAGGAAAAATATCTAAAATACATTACTCCCATCACTTCTGCAGAGTCTGAAAGTCAGCAATAAAAGCAAATAATCACCTGGACCTCAGTGTTCAGATGTGAAGTCAATCCACAAAGGATGCTAGGCTTTCAGGACAGACTACTGATTTCCAACTGAGCCAAATCCCATGACTTCCCCTCATTTACTATAATTAGAAATAGAATACCAACAGATAAGATAGTCTCCAATCTTCATCAAGGAAACATCGTTCCACGAGACAGATCACTACAGAAAACCAAACCAATCAAAATGCAGAGTTGTAGAGCCCAATCCCATCCACACTTTGTCTATTGCTAGATTCAGAGCCCAGGACAATGTTGCAAAAAAGAACTCAGAGAATATTTGTTGGTAAATGAATATTTTTACGTGTGATCCTCCACTCTAAAGCAAAAATTTCTTGACTAATTTTGTGAGCAGTTGATAAAAATGGGTTCCTTCTAAATTCAGCACATGGATTCCATTCTCTTTGTGAGATGGACATTTAGATTAATGGTCATTGTGGTACTTTGCAGCTAGAGTCCTGAATTTGCTCTTTATTTTAAGTGCAAGAGTTAAAGAAATCTGTAGCTGGATCTGAGGATCAAAGAGCACTTACTCCTTCTATCAGAGGACCAGAGTTTAGATCCCAGCACCCACATCTGAAAGCTAACCAATTCCTGTAATTCCAACTCCAGGAGATCTGTCACTGTTGGGAACACACATGCACACACAGACACACACAGACACAGACACACAGTTGAAGACTCTCAAGATGCATCGGAAATTTTAAAATCGTAAGATAATAAAGCATGCACAATGTCATTTACACTCAGTGTAGATCATTTCCATATAAGGCTGTCAGGGATTGATGGCCATTTACCCTTTCTTCACTAAACTCTATTTGGTTGGCTGTGTGGGGTTTCTGGCAGATATATGTTGACTTGTGAAACTCTCATAGACTGTGTTAGCCTGAATGATAGCCAAAGGGGTTCTAACTGATCTCAAAGCATTCATTTCCAGAGGCACATTTGTATCCAGAATGTTGGAGTCAAATTATGGATGGCCAAACAACTTGGCATCTAGCCTATGAATTAATGGAACAGAAATATGCTTTGAAGGAGAAGCCCCTTTTAAAAGATACATTTTATTTAGCGGATTCTACAGCATAATTTTAATGCTAGAAAGGTTTCTCAAAATTCATTTTTATTTCAGTTTAAAAAACTGCTTAGGATTAATGAATGTGAGCCTATACCAAAGGTTCAGACTGAATATATATGTCTCTGTCAACATAAATGAACCACAATGACTGACCGTAACAGGAGTGAATTTATCTATTTGAAAAAAGCAAATG